ACGGGATGAGGGCATCGCTGGCTAGGCAGCATTTATTATCTCTAATTGCATGGATAGGAGGAATAGACAAAGCTTTTTTCCCTAGGGTAGGGGTGTCCAAAACTAGCGGGCATAAGCTGAAGGTGAGAGGGGTAAAATTTAAAAAGGGCTTAAGGGGCAACTTTTTCACACAGAGGGTGGTGTATGTATGGAATGAATTGCCAGAGAAGGTGGTGGAGGCTGTTACCATACAACATTTAAACAGGCATCTGGATGGGTATGCAAATAGAAAAAGGTTTAAGAGGAATATGAATCGAATGCTGGCAAATGGGATGAGATTGAAATTTAGGACACCTGGTCAGCATGGACCGTTAGGTCTGGTTGTACTGAAACAGATTGGTTGCCACCTAGCCAATTCTGGGGAACACTTCTTCAGTACTATTGCTGATATGTTAACAGGATCTTTGGAGTGCCCATGTTGATGTTATTTTATCCTTTTTGTTTCAATCTTATCTTTAAAACTTTATAATATTTTGAAATGGCCCAGGAAGATAGTCAACAGTCAGCCACATTGTAACTTGAGTAACATGCCAGCTCACTCCCCAAAGCCTATCCACCATCTACAAGGGCAACAAAGGCAGGACTGCAATGGAATACTCCCCTGTTGCACAGATGAGTAAAGCTCCAACAATACTCCAGCAATGTAACACATTCCTGGACAAGTGAAACCGTTTCATTTGCAGCATATCCACATTCACTCCCTTCACTACCACGGCCCAGTACCAGCAATGTGCCCCACCTACAAGATACACTGCAGAAATTCAAAGCTCATTCAACAACACCTTCCAAAACCACTTCCATCAAGGAGGACAAGGGCAGCAGATACATGGGAACACCACCACCTGCAAGTTCCCCTCCAGGCCACTCACCATCCTGGCTTAGAAATATGACCCTTCTTTTAGTGTTAGAATCAAAATCCTGGAACTCTATCCTAACAGCATTGAGTCTACCTGCAGCACATGGTCTGCAACAGTTCAAGGGGCAAATAGGGATGGGCAATAATTGCTGACCTAGCAATGACACCCACATCCCGTGAATGAAATTAAAAAGCATGTTTGGCCATTTCAGAGAGCAATTAAGAGTGAACATGCTGCTGAGGTTTTGGTCTACATGTGACTCCAGTCTGCTTTTGCAATAGGGAGTTTCACAGTCATCATTAGATTTTTGTTCTACAGTTCTAAAAATTCTACATTTTTATAAATTTGAATTCCACCATCTGTCATTGTGGCATATGAACCTATTCTCCCAAAATGTTACCTGGGGTCGATTACCAGTCCAGCAATGCCATTATGTTGGCGGAATCACAGAATCCCTACAGTGTGGAAGCAGGTCATTTGGCCCATACAGTGCACACTGATCCAACCCTTCAAACAGTATGCCACCCAGATCCAGCCCCAGCCAAAACACCATATCTGGTAACCCTGCATTTCCCATGGCTAATTGACCTAGCCTACACATCCCTGGACACGATGGATAATTTCAACATGCCAATCCACCTAGCCTGCACATCTTCAGACTGTGAGGGGAAACTGGAGCACCCGCAGGAAACCCCCGCAGACACGGGGAGAGCGTGCAAACTGCACAGGCAGTTGCCAGAGACTGGAATCAAACCTGGATCCCTAGTGCCATGCGACAGCAGTGCTAATCAGTGAGCCACCGTGCCATTCTTTAGGGATGGGCAACCAGTGTGGATCTTGCCAGTAATACCCACATCTTAATTTTAAAAAATAAGCCATTTTCAGAGCTCCCATAGCCTCCACAATTGCAGCCTTTGTATCTATCACAGGCCACATGTGGACAGGCACTAAACATATTGTATTCCTTTGAAGCAGCAGCAACACCCTCCCAATCTCTCACTTGCCCAAATACACTCTAGAATATTTTCAAAGACTTCATCATAGCAGAAATTGCTGAAAATTTTCTTACCTGATTAAGGACCAGACATCAACAAACAGCATCAAAGCTGGGGCTCTTTTGTAGCTTGTCTGCATGTCTCAAGAACAAATTCATTAAAATGGACCTCTGTGGTCCAATTTTGGTGTTTTGGGTACGATAGCAGATGGATGGGCTTTGTGGTACCAAGTTAAAATGAGTTCAGCAGTTTCCAGCACAAGAAATGTCCCTCAGAATGGCAAAGACTGTAATAACATTTCAACAGACATGACAAACCTGAATTTTTGACACCAGTGTGCAATTGATATCCAACTGTGGTGGAAAGCTTTTCAAATCCTAGAACACAGGAGTAGAAGTGCTGAGTATTCCAGCTTTATTTTTACCTGTAACTCCAAGTTCCTCATTCTCAAGTACTGATTCCCACCCTTCTTAAAATTTTATCATTAAAATTCTAGCAAATAAAAAATGGACAGTAAGCATTTCATGAAATAGATAAAGAGGAGAAGCCAGAATGAACATGGACCCTTTAGAAAATGAGGTTGGGAAATAGTAAATGAAGAATCAGAAAACACCAAAGAAATTAAATAAATATTTTGTTTCAGTTTTCACAGTACAGAATATCCACAGAATTCTAAAAAATACTAATCTAGCGCCAAAAAGTGGGAAGAAAATGAATGAAACAATAAATAAAAAAAGTACTTGAACTAAAAATAACCAGATCAGTCATGATCTAATTGACTAGTAGAGCAGACTCAAATAGCCTGACTGGCCCGCTTCTGCTATTGCATATTATGGTCTTAAGTCCCCTGGACCTGATATATTGTATCCTAGGACACTAAAGGAATAGCTGAAGAGATAATGGATGCACTGGTAATCTTCCAAGAATCTCTAGAATCTGGACAAGCCCAAGGATCGGAAAATATCCAATGTTACACATATTCAAAAATGGAAGACAAAAAAGTAGTTACTGTAGGCCAGTTAATTTAGCATCTTTCATTGGGAAGATGTCACAGTCAAAAATAAAGAATGTACTTTGAGCATTTAGAAATGCATTATACAAATCAAGCAGTTAGTATAGCCTCATGAAGTAGAAATCATGCCTGACAAATTTATTATAGTACTTTGTGCAGGTGACAAGCTGGATAAAGGGAAACAAGTTGATGTAATATATTTACATTTCAAAGAGGCATTCAATAAGGTACTGCACATAGGGTACATAATAGCCCAGTGTTGGGAGGGGTTTATCAGTGTGGATAGAAAACAGAGTTGGAATAAGGAGGGGCTTTCTCAGGATAGCAACCTCTAACTGGTGAAATGGCACAGGATGTGTTGGGACACCAATTATTTACAATAAATATTGATGACTTAAATGACTGAAGTTAATGTATTGTTGCTAAGTTTGTGTGTGACACATAGGCAGAAAGGCAAGTGGCAAGGATGACAGAGTCTGCAGAGAGAAAAAGACAGATTAGGGGAGTGGGTAAAACCTTGGTAGATGGAATATAATGTGGGAAAATGTGAGGCTATGCACTTTTGCAGGAAGAATAGAGAAGCTGATTTATTTTTTAAAAACGGTGAAAGATTGCAGAAAGCTACAGCACAGGATGATTTGGGAGTGCTTGTGCATAAATCACAAAGCCAGCATTCAAGTTCAGCATGTAATAGAGAAGGCAAATAGAATGTTGGCCTTTATTTTAAATTGAATGGAATATAAACGTGGGAAGGTTTTGCTAAAACTATGTAAGGCACTAGTCAGATCACAAGCAGTGGAACACAGGAAACAGTTTTGTCCCCTAATCCAAGGAAAGTACTGGCAGTGAACCTTTTCTGGACTGCCTCCAATAAGTTGATACCAGGTGTGGACGGACTGTCTTATGGGAGGTTCAATAGATTGGACTTGGAAACTAGAAGAATGAGGGGAAACCTTATTGAAACAGAATCTCAGGGTTTGAAGTGGTTGTTTCCCCTAGAATGTCAAGGGCCAGGAGATATAACGTCAGAGTAATGATCATAAGAAAAAGATGAAGACAGATTCCCCCTCTCAAGGGAAGTGAATCTGTGGAATTCTTTAATTACAGAAAACTATAGAGGCTGTATAATATATTCAAAGTGTATTCAAGGCCGAAATAGACAGCATTTAAATTGAAATGAATCTAGAGTTACGAGGGAAAAGGTAGTGAAGTTGGAGTTGGGGATTATCAAATTAGCCATGATCGCAATGAAAGCAGAGTTGACTTGGTGGGCCAAATAGCTTACTTCAGGTCCTACATACAATGGTCTTACAGAAACACGTTTCCCGATAAGAACAGTTCAGATCCTGACTAGTCCATGAAAATAATGAATCCCAGATTTCTGATGAATGATTCAGTTACCAGATGGAGTAGTTTTTCCTTTAACTAATTTATCAAAACTACAATAGAGATTTTCACAATTAAGGTCACTTTAATTCCCTCTCTTCCAAAGGGGATGGTCCTAAATTTTCCAACCTTTCCTTATAAACAGAATTCCTTAAAGTCAGGCATTATTACAGCAAATCTCCTGTACCCAGTCTTTCCTTCGATGCCATGTCCAAAAGCACAACACTCCAAGGCCTAAAAATAACTTAAGGTCCAGCATGATCGCTATTTTATATTCTATTCCTCAAATTTATAAACCAAAAAAAGCCTATATTTTTAAGTCATCTTATCAATTTTTCCTGCCACTTAGTGCAGGAAGAGTATTACTGGGAATAAATGAGAAAGTGCTTGAAATTACAACTGATAAGTGACTAAAAGTTTGATGATGCCAGATACAGACCTTGACCTGACCGATCATCACAAAATCAAAAGCGGTGAAATATGGGTAAAACTGAATACTGTTGGCCCAGTTTCAAAAGTTGCCTATGGGCAAGGGCTTAAGGCAGCAGAATAACGAGGGAAAAAAAGAGAACCAAGATTGGAAAAGTGTGGCACTCAAAAGATGAAATTAGAAGCCTATATTCTTGGGATACGTATGTATAAAATAAGAGTGGAACTGAAGAAGGGAAACATTTTGGAGATAATAGAAATTGCTTTGGGCAGATGTTCCACAATGCATTTACACAATGGGGAGTCACTGCAAGACTGTTAATGGGAGATTTCAATTGAACTCCATTGAGAAAAATCAATTCAATTCTACATGTACATTAACACGACAGATTCATGGGCAAATTGCTGAGAATATCCTGCTTTACAACATCACATCCCATGCAAAAGACTAGACCAGCAAAATCCCCTTATAATGCAACAAATAGGTTTGTATACACCAATGTATAGCAGTTGGGTGGATAAATACATCAGTGTTAGACACTGAAAGACAGCAACGTTGGAAGGATTTTATAAATAAAAACGGCATACTTTCATTGACCTAAATGAAAGTTACATCATGCAATACAGCAGCTTTCTTTTATTTAAGGTGGGGCTTGTCAATGCAGTCAACGGATTTCGATGCACGTCCAACTCAGCATATACTTTGTTTTATTTTCATATTACCGGGCAGTATCTGTAGACATAGTACTGAATAAAGCCAAGGTGTGAAAACCCTTATCCAGTGACATCCTTAATTGTAATTAAATTTAATTGTAAAGTTGTATATTACACTGGCATAAGGCAACTGAAAATAAATTAAAAAAACAAACAAACAATCAGGGACAATTTCTACATGAATAAGAAGCAACCAAGCATTCTGAACTTAATTCGAGCCCACACCTGTACACATTTAAATCTGGATTAAATACTGTATACATCTCAAGCTACAAATTCAGATTTAATGTTATTGAGTGAAACATTTATCAATGTAATTTTTACATCTTTTATGGGCATCAGTTTGCAGCCATTCTAAGGCCAGAGATGCAGTTCACCATACGTATCATGCTTTAAAATGCTCAGGCTGGGCCTTCTTTTCTCCCGACATGATGTTCATTCATCTTACTCCAATCCATTTACAAAAAGTGAGCAGCCTTGATTTGCTCATGACTCTTTGCTTTAATATTACACAATTATCAAAAGTCTAGAAAATTTCGTAAACCTGTGGCATAGATTTGGTGCTCATCTCTCCTCTCTTTTTTCTGGAATTCCAGACTTGATTAAGGTTGCTTTGTACTTCTGCAGGCAGCCACAGATGCTTTTTACAAACCCTTTAGAGAGAGGGAAAAGTGGGAAACCTATGTCAGGGTAACCACGCTTCTCTGGGAGGAAGCTCCTGTAACTCTTTCGCCTTTTTTTTGGCCTGACAATAGCTTGTGATGATCCCTTCTGCTCCAGGGTTAGGGAGCAAGTTTCAGCAGGTTGCTGCTCAGTAGAATCAGTCTCCAGACAGATATTTTCATCTGAACCCCCTTCTGCTAACTTCTGTGGCTTACTACTCACATGATCTTCAGAATTTTCCATACCAGGCTCTTTAGCAGCTTGAACAGATTCAACAACAATTTGTGCTGCAGATGGACAGAAACCATCCACTCGACTGTCTGCTGCATCAGAAGAGGAGATCGGAATTGACTCATCTTCAGCACTATTGCCAAGTTCAATGCTTCTTTGGATCATTTCATTGATTTCCAGCCAAGACTCCATTCTGTACAGAAGTCGCCATCCATTGGTGTAGAAGTGCTCTTTTATTTCTTGTTCAAAAATTTCCACAGGTTTCTGAATGAGCTGAGTCATAGATTGCACCAGTTTTATAAGGGCCATCTCATTGTAACAGCGACTGTTCTCATAGCCCTCCTGAAGACCACGATCACTGTCAAATCCAGCCTCATTATAATAGGGTTCATTCACTAGGATCAGACCTGGAAAGTCAATCATGGAAATTTTCAAAATTATATTGAGAAAGCAAAACATAGCTTAAACATCAACTGATAGCCTGTGTTTACAATATGTTGCTGGATCAAGAATGGAAGATTCTAATGTCAAATTTACAAAGATCCAACAGAATTAAAAGGGGACAATGTAATCTACTGATCTGTGCCAACTTTTGTGATGATGTCTAACAGAGTCATATACAGCACGGAAGAGGCCCTTTGTCCCATCAAATCTATGCTGTCCTATCTACTGTAAACTTTTCAGCCTGTGCTTTGCTACACACCTTGGGAAAAGTATATACTTTCTATATTAGTTACATGGCTCAGCTACTTCAATTTCTGTTCCGGAATATTTAAGGGACTTTGGAGGCAGTGTGGGAATTCAGTGTAGAAAGGAACAGGTGTTTTTTTGCTTAGAGTTAGCAGGAACTGCAGATGCTGGAGTCAGCGATAACAGTACGGAGCTGGAGGAACACAGCAGGCCAGGCAGCGTCAGAGGGGCAGGAACGTAGACATGTCGGGTTGGGGACCCTCGTCAGACATGGGGTGGGGGGAGGGGGCTGAGAGAGAGAGAGAGAGAGAGAGAGAGGTGGGTGGGATGGTGATAGGTGAGTGCAGGTAGGCAGTGGAGGGGATTGTTCAGTGAGGTGGGAGAGAAGATGGACAGATTGTCAGGTCAAGGAAGCGAGGATGAGAGGGAGGGTTGGTCATGGGATTAGGCCGGGGTTGGGGAGGTTTTAAAACTGGTGAATTCTATACTTAGGCTATCGGGCTGTAGGCCCCCCGAGGTGGAATATGAGGTGTAGCTCCTCCAGTTTGCGGTGGAGGCCCAGGATGGACACATCACCCAAAGAGAGTGGGAGGGGGAGTTAAAATGGTTGGCAAATCAGAAGGTGTTCTCGTTTGTCGCATACAGAGTGCAGATGCTCTATAAAACAGTCTCCGAGTCTACACTTGGCCTCACCGATATAGAGGCGGCCACACCGGGAGCAGCGGATACAGTAGACTAAGTTGACAGATGTGCAGGTGAACCCCTGTCTGCTATGGAAGGTTTGTTTTGTGCCTTGAGTAGGGGTTGGGGGGAGGTATGGGGCAGGTGTAGCACTTCCTGCGGTTGCAGGGGATGGTTAGGGTTCGTGGGTGTGTGGAGTGGACGAGGGAGTTGGAGAGAACGATCCTTACGGAAGGTCGACAGGAGTGGGGACGGAAATATCTCTTTGGTTGTGGGGTCGGATTGTAGGTGGCGGAAGTGGCAGAGAATGATACGTTGGAAACGGAGGTTGGTGGGGTGATACAAGAGGACAAGCGGGATTTTGTCTTTATTTTGTTGGGGGGTGTGGGTTTGAGGGCAGAAGTGCGGGAAATGCAAGAGATGCAGTTGAGGGCATTTTCGATCACCGGGGTAAGGGCGGGTGGGGTAGTTATGGTCCTCCTGTTTCAAGGACATCTGGGATGTGTGGGAATGGAACGCCCCATTTGTCAGCAGACGCGGCAGAGGTGGAGGAACTGGGAGTAGGGAATCGCATTCTTGAAGGAAGGTGGGTGAGAGGTGTAGTCCAGGGAGCTGTGGGAGTTGGTGGGTTGAAATAGATGTCAGTTTCGAGGCAGTCATCAGAGATGGAGACAAAGAGGTCCAGGAAGCAGAGGGAGGTAACGGTGATGGTCCAGTGAATTTAAAGTTTGGAGTGAAATGCGTTAGTAAAGTTGATGAACTGTTCAAGCTCCTCATGGGAGCACAAGACAGCGTGGGGGATAGTGCCAGTGTAACAGTGGAAGAAGGACTGTTCCATGTATCCTACAAAGAGGCAGGCATAGCTTGGGCCCATGCGGGTGCCCATGGCCATCCCCTTAATCTGTAGGAAGTGGGCTTGCTTTCTTGGCTCGTTGCTTCCAAGGTTTTTCTTTAAAAAAACAGGATAAGTTGAAGCCCAGGATTGGGGGCCCAGCATAAAACAAAGTGACCCAGGAAAACCACAAGTGAATTGGCTCGTAATAGCTGCTAATTTGACTATCCAGAACAAAGAACACTACAGCACAGGAACAAGTCCTTTGGCCTACCCAACCTGTGCCAACTAAAGACCCTTTGCTTCTACATGGTCCGTATACCTCTATTCCCTGTCTCTTCACGTACCTGTCAAGATGCATTTTAAAATGTTGCCATTGTATCTGTTTCTACCACTTCCTCTGGCAGTGCATTCTAGGCTCTTACCACCCTCTGTATAAAAAACAACTTGCCTCTTGCATCTCCTTTAAACTTATCCACTTTTACCTTAAAGTTATGTCCCCTAGTAATTGACATTTCTACGCTGGGGGGAGAAAACTTCAACTATCCATTCAATCCAATACCTCAATTTTGTAAACTTCTATCAGATCACCCTCCAGCCTCTAAGGTTCAAGTGAAAATAGAGTTTATCCAAACTCTCCTCATTGCTAATACCCTCCAAACAAGGCAACCTCCTGGTAAATGGAATCTGTACCCTCTCCAAAGCCTCCATTTCCTTCTGGTAGTGTAGTGACCAGAACTGTACACAATATTCCAAAGATAGCCTTACTGAGTTCTATACAGCTGCTACATAACTTGCCAATTTTTATACTCTATGCCCGAACAATGAAGCCATGCATTCCATAGGCCTTTTTGATCACCTTATCCATTTATGCTGCTACTTCCAAGGAACTGCGGACCTGCATGCCTAGATCCCTTTGTATGTTAAATGCTTCTAAGGGTTTTAAGGGATTAACAAAAAATGCAATTAGAGTATGAAGGCAAGTTGGCTAGAAATGTACAAGTGGATATCAACAGTTTCTAAAGGTATTTTAAAAAGTGTTGGTCCTCGAGAGGCACAGAATGGGGGAAATTAACAGTAGATAAATAGCAGTTGAATTAGTCAAATATTTTGCTTCTATCTTCACTAGAGGACACAAAACAATTCCAGTAATAGCTGTAAATCATAAGGTTGAAGAGACGAACTTGGTGATATTACAATTAGTGGGGAGGCAGAACAAAGTAAACTGACAGAGCCGTGGATTGTCAAATTTCTAAGTTCTGACAGATTTCATCTTAGCGTCCTACAAGAGGGGGATCATGTGGTCATAGGTAATTAGTTTTCTAAATTTTGCTAGACTCTGGAAAAGATTTCAAAGGTGAAGTAGTAAATATTCAAGGAGGTGGGAGATGGAATACAGGAAACTATAGGCCAGTTAGTTTGACAGCTGTCGTTCGGAAAAGTTAGAATTGATTATAAAGGAGGCTATAGTTGGTTGCTTAGAGAAAAAAAAAAATCAAGGATGTTGAGAAGAGTCAACAGAGTTTCCAAGTAAAATCATGTTAACCGATTTATTGGAGCTCCTTCAATGAGTAACATGTGGATAAAGGGAAACCTGTAGACAACTGCACTTGGATTTTCATGAGGCATTTGACAAGGCACCATATTAAAAGGCTCACGTGAAATGTAAAGCTCTTGTTAAAGGGATAACATATTAGCATGGACAGAAGACTAGCTGGTTGGTTAAAAACTGCATAAATGGGTCTTTCATACATCGAGTGGAAGTTGTGCTGTAACATTTCTCACAGTTTATTAAGTGTTTATATTTTTAAGGTTACAAGCATTCTACCTGCTAAAATAGACAAAGTTATTTGCACATCTCAGAAGACTAGGGGCCTATTTGGTAGCAGCACTATGTACGCCACATATAGTAGTGACCAGAAGTGGGCACTAATAATTTATTCACTCGATAATGGGAAATTTTCACACCCATTGTTATTTGCTGCCCAAGGATTATATACTGCATTCAAGTTGATATTTTGTCCAAATGAAATGCAGGACTTAATTTGCATCCAGCTGTCCAAGTGATCTATTTCTGGATTCAGTTTTCCACACTCAGTCAGCACTGGATGTGATAGCATTACAGTTAGGCTGTACAAACAAACATTTAGTAGAATGGACATTTCTTGAACCTGTCGTCTTTTGAACATTGATTTGGTGGACTGTATCTGAACAGAACCCACCTTGTCTTTTCCACAACCATAAGTTTGAACGGAGTATCCCTCACACACCTTCATGTCCACACTCGTCATAGTTTGGTGTAAAAGGGAAATATTTTGATATAAGTCCACAATACTGTCTTTTCCAAATTCATTATCTGTTATCTTCACAATTGCAGTCTAATCAAATGCATGTCACTATCATAATTCCACTTCTGGAAATCTGCTTTACAGATGGTCACATTGCAGTTGACTAAATTGAAGGATTGCAGCAGTGTCCACATCATTGTCAAGGGCAGCCAGAACCTTAACTTTATCACTCCAATAAATGCATTCTCCTAGATAAAGTGTCTTGGTTTACTGATCTTGGCCTTTGCAAATTGCATAGCTTCAATAGTCAGCAAAAAGCTTCTTTGCAAGAATTTGCACAGGGATGCCAATTCACCAAAGACATTATTCAGAGCTCTTAATTCAATGCAATATTGTGGCTTAAGAATTTTCAGGCATTTTATCGTATTGTTGCACTTATTCACTTGGTCTGTGCGCAATACTCGTCAAATTGTTGCAGTTTCATATTAATGCATTCATGTGAAAGCATCTCAATAGTCACCTCATTTCATTCAGTGGCATTTAGACTGTATCATACTGACTTTGTAAAAATCTTCACATTGTCCTTTCTTCATGGTTCATTTGCTGAAAATTGCATACATTTGTCTTAGAAACATTTCAAGACCTTGTACAATTGGTACCTATTTGCACTCAAACATCTATTCCCAGGTCTTCTCTGAGCTACACAATACTGTTAGGACAAACATTAGATTGTGTGTTGCAAGCTTGCGGCTAATCCATTTTTCTTCCCCAGCATAACAGAAGAGCTGTCTGATGTATATATCACCATCTCCTGTAAATCTACGTCACCGTTAATGAAACATTTCTTGATTGCTGTCATAATAGATGCATTGTCACAAGCAGTCAGTTTCAAAATTCCTAGGAGTCTTGTAATCAAGTTCAGATTCTGGTCGAAACGATGTACATAGTCAACTTTTTTTAGTATACTGAAACATCCATTATTTCATCCATTATCAATATATGAAAATGTGATTTTCACAATTCATCCAAGAACTGTCTATAAATTACAAAGTCAATCCTCTACAAATTTGATGACACCATTCTTACAGCAATTAATGCAACAATGTCATTCACTACATGATCATGTAAAGTCTTGCACAGAAAGCATGGTGTATTCATCTTTATCACAAGTATATTTTAAGAGGAGAAATTTCCACCATATCAGGATTGGTCCTTTTGTTCTCTGTATGCTCCATCGTAATCTCAACCTCCTGGCGTTTCAGTGAGGATTCATAAAATTTCTCATTTGCTTTAGCTTTGTAAACTAATAACAGTAACCACATATACCATTTGGCTCAAATGTTGCTTTAGGTAGTCTACTTCCCAATCCTGTCCCAGAAAACTCACACCCAGCATTTGCTTTAGGGCAAATAGTGCATATAACATCTGTTGCACGATAAGCAAAAATCTCATTAAACATATGTTGTGTTTATGTTGTAGATGGCATCTCTGTTTCAACGACCTCAAAAAGCCACTCCCTTTTGAAATTATTAACAGGGCTTGAAGACTCATGTGCTTTTCTTTTGAACACATTTTAAACTTAGCAAAGGAACAAAAGCTTTAAAATATGACAGAAATGCAACTTGCTACTTGCATCATTTGTTAACCCTTCTCAATTGGCCACATCCTTCCCAGACCTTGTGCCCAATCCTCCTGGTCACTGCTGAGAAGACTAAACAGCCTACTTCTGACTCTGTTCCTACTGCTTTTAACTTGAATCCCTGACTGGAAATTATATGACCAGGCTTCTTTTCTTGTCCAGAGTATGTTTTGATGATCACAAGTTTTTTACAATCCATCTGGTGCTGGAAGCAGCTGCATGAGTAGTGACTTCAGAAAGCCTGGGCTTTGTTCTGGAGAATCCTGGTATTAACAGGCCATCCGTATGCTCCTGTCAGGATCATCCTGCATGAAGATTGAGGATTTCTTCATTGCTTGATCCTGCACGGACGATTATGGGACGTGTGCCGTTTCAATTTCCTGGTGTGCAGCCCCACATATGCAGCTTTACAGGGAACACAGGTCCCTACCCTTGGGCGAGGAGGCCCAGGTTCACAACCAACCAGCTCCAGTGTGTACTAACATTTCTGAACATCGCTGATTAGAACACATCTAGATGAGGGCAACAAAGGCATGGCATCTATATTTACAAGTGACACAATGATAGGTCGTAAAGTACATTGCGAACAGGACATAAAAGTACACAGATAGATACAGATTGGTTCAATGAGCTGCCAGAAATTTGGTAAATGGAGTATTAAGAAAATATGATGCTCACTTTGGGGAAAAAAGAATACAAAAGCAGAGTATTATTTAAATAGTGTGTAACCGCGGAATTCCAAGATGTAAAGGGACCTGTGTGCTCTAGTTCATGGATTGTAAAAAGGTCAGTGTGCAGGCATAGTAGCAGCTATTGCAAGAGCTATTGAACATAAAGTAAGGATGTTATGCTTCAGTTATACAGGGCATTGATGCAATTTTGGTTTCATTTTTCAAACAAAAAAGGATGTAAGTGTACTGGAAGTCATTCTCAGGTAATTTACTAGATTGATACATGGAATAAGCAAGTTATCTTATGATAACTGAACTCGTTTCCACAAGTTTAGAAGAGTGACAGGTAATGGATTGGAATATTTAACATCCTGAAAAGTCTTGACAAGGTGGATGTGGAAAGAATGCTTCCTTTTGTGGGTTAGTCCAGCAGTAGAGGTCACCCTTTTAGGATAGAGGAATGGAAATTTATCTTCTGAGTGCGTGGCTTTTGAACTCTGCCTCAGATAAGTCATTAAAGGAGAAGTCACTGAATATTTTAAGATGGCGATAGATAGATTCTTGTCAGGCAAGGATATCAAAGGGCTTTGGGGTAGATGAGAATGTGGAATTTGAAAGACAACCAGATCAGCTATGACCTTATCAAACTGTGGAGCAAGCAAGAGGGGTTGAACAGTCTACATTTGCTCCTAATTTGAAATTACATGCAAGACCTGAAGATATAGGAGCACATTAAGACCTTTTGGCCCATCCAGCCTTCTGTTAAACAATAACAGCTGATACATTTCTCAGTTCCATTCTCCTGCCTTTTCCCAATAATGCTTGATCCCCTTACTAATCAAGAACCTATCTCTGTCTTAAATACACTCAATGAGTTGGCCTCGATAGCTTTCTGTGGCAATGAGTTCCATAGATTCACCACTCTCTGGCTGATGAAATTCCTCCTCTTCTCAGTGAAGGAAATGGAGGCTGTGCCCTCAAGTCCTAGTCTCTCCTACTAGTGACAACATCTCCATATCCACTCTAGCCAGCTTCTCAGTATTCGACACGTTTCAATGAGATGCCCCCTCATCCTTCTAAACTCCATTGAGTACTGACCCAGAGTCCTCAAACTCTTTTCATATGGCAAGCCTTTCATCCCCAGGATCATTCTTGTGAACCTGCTCCAGATCCCCTCCAAGGCCAGCACATTGTTCTTTAGATACGGGGCACAAAACTACTCACTGATGTTTTGTGATTCATGTGCCAAGACACCAAAATCTGAGCGCCCTACAAGAGGGGCATCTCAATACATTTGCTCCTAATTTGAAATTACATGCAAGACCTTAAGATATAGGACCACATTAAGACCTTTTGGCCCACGTACATGAGCTCTGTACCAGAGTTCTGCAATCTCCTACCATTTAAATAATAGGCTGCTCTTCTAACCAAAGTGAATCAGTTCACATTTGCTGCCATTACAGACCATCTGCCAAATTTTTGTCCACACACTCAACCTATCTACATCCCATTGATAACTTACTTTCCTATCCTGAAGTCACTGCCAAGTTCAAAGCAACAATTAAGTTGGATGAAAAATCACAAGCGGAGGAAACGAATATAATCAGGAAATCCTTCCTTTTACTCAAAATCCAGCAAACTAGCAACACCGATTTGATGTATTATGAAAAGCAAACTGTCAAAATACAAGTAGTTCAAAATTTTGTTTAGCACAAACCTTGGATCGATATCAGCACTTGCAAAAGACTGGATTTACTTGTCCACCTCTCAGTTCCCTAGACCAAAAAGGAAATTAAGTTATTGCATGGTGAGAAAGAGAGCAAATTAAAACATTTCTTCAGATGAAATGGATTAGAATAATACTCTGCTGATGTGTAGAGCGCTCTTTTTTTGAATACAATTTTGTTTTATTTAGCAGCATTATAACAAATTCACAAGGAGGAGAAAGGTTCTCATTATAACAATATTACTGCTGACAACAAGCACATGGGTATCAAAAGAATAATTTACAAAACCATTAGGATGGCTTGATCAACCAAAAGCAGTCAGTTAGGGTCCTGGAGAGAACAAGCCAGAGCTCTAGAATTGAGGGCAGATGTCAGTGAGAATGGGCAAGTATGCCATAAAGACCGAGCGAGTCTGCACCAAAGGTGAACTACCTTTGAGAAGACAGCCCTCTTCATCTTCACTAAGACCACATGACACTGATTCCCACTCAGCTCCTCAACCTCATCTAAGATTCATCCAGAAAGAAAAACATTCTTAGTATTTTCCCGGTTAACCAAATCCCCTCTCATTTCTAGAATCTAATAAGCATTGGTCCAACCTACTCAAGTTTTCTTCACAAGAGAACACCTTATTCCCAGGAATCAACGTTCGTCAACATTTTATGAATTAGCTCCAATGTAGATACCGTCTGAGTCATCAGCCTGTAGGCAGGTCCAGTCCTCAGCACTATGATTGCCACCACACGCAGGGCAAGGAGGGAGATCTAAATTCCATGCCAACCAAAATGGGGATCAAACCTGTGCGCTAGGCACCAATCTGATCCATACTGGTCACGCAGTCAGCTGAGTCAGCTAACCGCTTTCAGTATGGTGGCAGAGATGTAATATTACTGGACTAATAATCCAAAGGTTCAGGCTGATGCTGTAAGGACATGGGCTCAAATCCCATTCACGGCAGCTGATGGAAATTTAAATTCAATGCGTAAATCTGGAATTTAAAGCTAGTCTCAATA